GCTAGTGTCAATGCAGGAGAGGCAGCGCGGGCTTCCACCTCGGCAACTCGGTCCATTACGGATAGCAATAAGGTGCGTGTCGAAGAATGTGCACAGTTCTCTTTGCTTGCATGGTGTTGGATTTGTTTGGAATGTGTTGGCCAGTGACAATAGTTCTTGTTCTTGTTGGCCATGTTAACGCTCGCCTTTCAGTCATGACATATGCAGGCGCGTGTCCCGTATGGGTTCCTGGGTGCCCGGAACCCCCCATTTTTCGCTCAAAATGCAGGATTTTGCTTCATTTCTTGAAAATTTTCCCGGGGGACGCCCCCTGGAACCCGCCCTTGAAGAGCACCGGCGTACGTGCCTGATACGTATGACAGAATCATGACACTTGTATGCCACCTCTAGGGTGCAGATACGTTCATTTTCTCCTGTTTTAGCAGGCCCGGCGGAACTGGTCCGGTTGGTCAGGCCATGGTTGGACCAACCTTTTGGCCACCGACGTGTGTTTATTGCTGAGGGGGTCATGCATCTACACTCCATATCATACACAAACTGTATGAAGGGCCAGGGTACGGCGGGACCAATCAAAACTACTTTCTCCGGTTCTGTTACGTTGACTTCGTTCGCGTTCCATACAGGCAAGAGAGCTTAGTGTTCAACTATGTATCTTTCTTCGTGCAATCTTGTTTCTGTACACCTTCAGGTTGCTATGCAACAGCAGCTGCGTGTAGTCCAACTCAGCACCAACGTCAACAGCATCTCCAGATCCGCCGATCGCCTCAACGCAAGCATAGCCAACAAGACAGCCGAGGCCGATGTACAACAGCAGCAGTGTGCCCATGCCCGGGCTATGGCCTCCACCACCAGCTCGGACGTGACACGTGTGTCCCCGCAGGTTACCCTGGCAACAAAAATGGCCGCGGATGCACAGCACTCCGCGCTAGCGTTGCAGGCAGAGTTTGAAAGCATCGGTGACCTGCCGTCGTCGAGGCTAGAAGCGCTCGGTAGTGAGCTGAGCCGCTTGCAGACATCGCTCACCCAGGCGCAGGTGAGCCAGATGATCACCAGCTTGCAGGCAGCGCTCGACACTAAGGAAACCATGCAGACCATGCTGGAGCACTCTCTGGCCACGATCGGCGCCGAAGTGCGGAGACTGGGCACGCAGCGCGATGCCCTTGTGGATAGCTGCCACCCGGGATCATAGACAACTAGTCATGTCCATGTGGACAGTAGACACCAATCATGTTCATGACTGTACAACAGAGCAGCATGTATGCATGCTGATACTTGATCTATATTTTCTGGTATTTTTCGACAAAACACTTTGTTTGTAAAAAGGACAAGTGCCCAGTTCTTGACTCAAGCAATGCAGTTTTCTTTGCATTGCACGACAAACATCATTCTTTTGGTGTAGGTTGCATGTTGAGGTCTTCTCTCGTTCTACGAGATCCCTTCAACTAGAGGTGTCTGATTCTTTTCTTGGGACAAGGTTTTCTTGTGACATAGGATATGGCCTTTCTCTGACCTTGAGCTGTAACTAACGTTAGATAGTATTCTACCATTTTATTATTTTATGACGCACTCAGCGGGAGTACTGGCACTTGCCGAGTGCTAAGCGGAAATATTGTTTTAAAAGTATTCCAAGATTTTGAGTGTATACTTCACTGCATTGTTCTTGTGCGGCACTGGTTTCTTGTGTGAGTGGAAAGAACGTAGGAGCATGTGTGTGTGTGTGTGTGTGCGTGTGTGGTATGTACATGGTGTGTGTGTGTGTGTGTGTGTGTGTGTCCCTGTGTTCACTGGGGACGGTTGTGCTTTTTTGAGCTCCTGCCTACTGAAAGTCCTCGACCTTTGTAAACTTCACGGAGGCCTGAGGCGGCCCTCTTTGGGCCGCCTCTAGGCCAGGGAAAGTGCATGACGGAGGGAAGCATACAGCTGAGAGACGGGACGGCAATTTGGTGCCGTCACTTTTAGTTGTACCCGACGTCGCCGCTCGCGGAGGTTTGACAAGCCCCCGAGCGGATTTCCACAACATCGCGCGATGAAATCTGTCAGAGAGAAGAGAGGGAGATGGAGACATTGCCTGCTGTGTTTGGGCTCATGGAACGTGAGATCCTTGGTGGAGCGGGACGGCGACATCGACACTGCTTGTGTTTCTGGACGCGTCGTGGAAGACAAAAAAATTCACCGAGTTATTTCTGAACTGAAAAGGCTGAAAGTGGCGGCGGCAGGCCTGCAGGAAACCCACTGGTTTGGACAAAATATCTACGCTGTCAACGGATTTACTGTGATCTGTTCGGGCCGCCCCACTCCTGGCGAAGAGGATAATCGACGTCGAGGTGAGGGAGTTGCTCTTGTTTTGAATCGTGATACAACTTCGGCGTGGAGGGCTGGCGGCTGCGTATGGAACGCGGTGAGTTCTCGGATTGTGAGTGTACGTTTGAAGTACTGTGCAGCTGATGGACCGGATGTTTGGCTCACTCTGGTCAGCGTTTATGCTCCAACGTCAGGGCTCACCACGACCATACAAAGCGTCAATAACGGTCATTTGGATTTGACCAATCAGCGCACAGCAAAACGGGCTGTTTCTTGCAATTGTGGGGTGTTTTCTGAGTGGAGCTTGGCTGTATTCGTTGGTTTTAGACATTAGGCCATTGTGGATTCGTGTTCAGAAGGTGTGTCTTTGGGGGGTTACCGTCTCGAATTTTTCGATTTGGCCTTCGTTTGGCTGAGATCGGATGGTGAAATCACTCAAACGCGAAGGCGTGCAAACAAGTGAATGAAGAGAAAATTAGAAATCGGGGACGGTAAACCGATAGAGAATTCCAAGACCTTGAAAATGAGCTATCGATGATGAGAATCGGCCAAGGAGAACCGCTGTTCTACTTTTTTGAAGACATCAAGGTCGGCCGTGCGTCGCCGCGCGCACCAACAAAAACTGGCAGCCGTGCGCATATCTGCAAGTGCAACAAGAAAGGGCGGAGGAGACAGCAAGCGTTCCAAGTGAAGAGTTTACCTTCGTGTTGACTCAAGCTAAGGACTCATGCCAGTCGGGGATCATACTAGTCACCTCTCATCATGGTCATGACTAAGGGATTCATTTGTGACAAGGAAACTCCCCACTCGCAGCGTGAAAGCTGCGAGGCCAAACAGAAAAGAGTGTGCCGAGTCGCGATCAGGAAACGCTGAGTTCTACTGACAACATTGGTTAGCTAGGCGCGGCAAATTCTTGAAGATGCCGGGACTCAAGTTCACCAGTACCCCACGGACATATCTTGGTCGACACCCACCAGCGGATTGAGAAAAATGACCAAGATTGCTTGGAGAAAGGACGTCTTCTCCGCGTGTCTTTCTCGACATCAAACAACAAGATTCGCTTCGGCACTGGCCCTTCGCTGTACAGAGTAGACCAGGAAGTCGTAAAATACCGGTATTTTACGACTAGACTGTACATCGCTGTACATCGATGAGCATGAACTCGGGTGCGTAGCCGCTATGACTGCACAAACTCTGGTTTTGGCGGCATTCAAAATGGTGGTCGACGCTTTTTGAATTTTGTATGGTCGTGGTGAGCCCTGAACGTTTGCTGCGTCGCGGGCATGCAAGGAACTATTTTTATGACGATCTACAACGCACTCTGTACGATGTACCCCAGACTGACCATTGTGTAGTGCTTGGCGATTTCAATGCTCGAGTTGGATCTAGTGAGCAGGGTGATGAGTGGTCCACTGTAGAGGAGACGGCTCGATACCGGAACGTTTTGACAGCCAAATTTGTATAGACCCAAAACGATCATCAACGTTGATTTTTCACTCGAAATATGTTTGTGGAAGGAAACTGGCATGTTGAAGTTTGCTCTGGGGCCAGAGTCAATCGAACTGAGCCACTCCTTTGTGTTGACCCATTGCCTCCAAGTTGCCCAATTTTTCGCTTCAAAAAAGTTCAAATCAGAGGTGGCTCCAAACCGGACACGTTTTAGAGTGCCCGTCAAATTCACTCTGGGTCTGAAATTAGGTAATTGCTATCGCTCCACGACGGCCAGTACAGAGTAACAATAAGCCTTGTGTGTGCTTCCATTAGTTTTGATTGGTATGCGGTGCTTTATTGTCGAGAGGCGAGCCGCTGTTTACCTGCGACAAGAAGTTGATTTTTCGAAAGTCGTAAAACTCAAGTCGCAGTGCGAAGCAACACGTCAAAAACTCACCTGCTTGATATGGCGCTTCTGGTCATCGCAGAGCCATGAAATTTTGGCTCGGAGTATAACACATCGTAGTCTCACTGTGACATATGTTTTCTAATCAAAATACCAAGAGAGAAAGTGAATATTGAGTCCGTTCCGGTTTGCAACCTATTTCCTATTTGAAACCGTCGCCTCTACGTGGTCCGCATGGATTTGGTGCACTGAACTCTTCAGGAGCTGACCTGCTATCATTTGCTGCATTCAATCAGTTGAGTATTTGTAACACCTGGTTCCCCAAGCGAGACCTCTTCAAGCGGACTTGGCAGCACCCAGGCACTTTGAACTGGCACTGTATCGACTACATTCTAGTGCGCCAGGAGGACCGCCGTTGGTGTATGGACACTGCGGTCGCGCGCAGTGCTGAGTGTGGAAGTGACCACCAACTCCTCTGTTTAACTTTTGCACTCCCGTGTGGACGATTAGTTCGGGAGCGCGACCGGGCAAATGTGCGGCGCCGCCGTTATGATGTTGCCCAGCTGCGGGTGCGCACCTCGGACCCGGACTCACCTTCGCCTGCAGAAAGGTACAAAGCTACCATTGCAACCGAGCTTGTAGATACATGGCAAGAACAGCACGACATAGATCAGAAATGGTCCAACGTCAAGGCGGCTATCGACAAGTCTGCTGCGTCTGTCTTGGGCTTCTCCCGGCGTCGCCAACCAGACTGGTTTCGGGAGGCAGAGTCAGCCATCCAGCCATTGCTAGATGAACGGAATCGGTGCTATACCGACTGGCTATGTAGTGGCCAGAGCCGCGACTGCTCGCACTACACAGCGTTTAAGGTGGCTAGATCCAGGGCGCGTGCTTCCATATCCTCGGCTAGGGTAGACTGGATAAAGGCAAAGGCACAGGCGGCCACAGAGTCGAGATTCAATGGAGCGGTCGTATGGAAGTGCATCCATGACCTCCAGTCTTGTACCCGGGGCCTCGCCCCTGTGCGCACTTCCGCCGTGCTGGATGAGAACGGTAACATCTGTAGTTCACCAGAGGAGCAGAGCCACCGGTGGGGAAGACACTTTGACGGTGTTCTCAACGTGGCAAGTACATGGAATCGCAATGCCCTGGACGACATCCCACAGCGACAGGAGGCTGATCATCTTGCTGAGGCGCCGACTCTCCGTGAAGTCAGCCGCGCTATCTCCCGCCTACAGAACGGCAAGTCCGCTGGAGCCTCTGGCATCCTCCCTGAGATGCTGAAGAGGGGTGGCCCTGACCTCACCGCCAAGCTTGTGGAGCTGTTTGGCGATGTGTGGCGTGCTGGGGTGGTCCCGCAGGAGTGGGTGGACGCCACGTTGGTCCCCATCCCAAAGAAAGGGGATTTATCTCGCTGTGATAATTGGCGGGGTATCTCACTGCTGGATGTTGTGGGCAAGGTTCTGGCGAGCGTCATCCAGACTCGTCTCCAGTCCGTGGCTGCAGATTTTCTCCCAGAGTCTCAGTGTGGCTTCAGGCGTGGCCGATCTTGTACAGATATGGTTTTCAGTGTTCGGCAGTTCCTCGAGAAGACCATTGAGCACGACTGCAAAGGCTTCTTTGTATTTATAGACCTCAAGAAAGCCTATGATTCCGTGCCTCGGGATTGCCTGTGGGAAGTCTTATCCCGAGCGGGTATCCCTGCTCCCATGCTTGCCGTGATCCGTTCCTTTCACACTGACATGTCGGCGGTGGTTCGGGTAGAGAACACGACAACTGACCCTATCCGCGTCACGAATGGTCTCCGTCAGGGGTGCACCATGGCACCTGTGCTGTTTAACATCTTCATGTGGGCGGTGGTGACTGTGTGGCAGCGACGAGTACGAGATGTACCCGGTGTTGGTTTTGAGTTCCGGCATTGTGATGGTGACAATAACCTTTACCGCAAGCCTACCAGGACGGATCCGGTTGCCATTGCCACTGAGTCACAGTTTGCAGACGACTCAGCACTTTTCGCGACGACTCGTGCAGGGGCGGAGACGGCACTTGCAGTGTTTGACACGACCGCAGCTGAGTTTGGGCTTAAAGTTAGCGCTACCAAGACACAGTTCTTGGTTGCAGGTAGGGATGTTTCGCCTGGGGACTGCGCTCCAATCGAGCTAGCTGGCACGGTCATCGAGTGTGTTTCGGAGTTCCGGTATCTGGGATCTCTCATTCATCGCGGTGGCCGGTCGACACAGGACATCACTGCTCGGATTGCGCATGCCTCTCGTGCTTGTGGCGCCTTGCAAGGAACCATCTTCAGCAATCCTGACCTTGATTTGCATATCAAGAGGTGTGTGTTTAATGCATGTGTGCTGTCGCTCCTCCTCTATGGGTCAGAGTGTTGGACACCATTGCAACACGATCTCAGACGTTTGTCAGTCTTTCATATGCGGTGCATCCGTTCCATCCTGGGTGTGTCCCGCAGAGATTGCTGGAATAATCACACGACCAACGCCCAACTGTTGGAGATGTGGGGTGACTCTGATACCATCTGCGTGAAGGTCGCACAGCGTCGCCTAGAGTGGCTGGGCCATGTTGCTCGAATGGACAGTAGCCGGATGCCGAGACAGATCCTGTTTGGCTCACTTCTCACACGTCGCCCAGCACATGGCCCTCGCAAGCGCTGGAAGGATTGCGTTGTCACCGACTTAAGAGTTCGTGGCCTCACCAAGGAATGGTACCCTATCGCCTGTGAGTCCCGTGCTGACTGGCGGACTATGTACGCCGAGCCTGTGGAGAATGTGCCTCAGCCTGACCCAGTGGTATGTGCGGATTGCAATCGGTCATTCTCGCGCCCTGGAGATCGTGCTCGCCACAAATGTGTGGTTGAGCGGGCAAAGCCGATTGCTGAGCAGCGAGGGGCTTGCCACTGTGGAGATTGTGGGCGTTGGTTTCGCAGCAAGGGTGGTCTAGCTGTTCACCGCTGTTCCGCGCCTCAGCCTCCCGAGCCCCGGCAAGTCTATGTGCAAGATGCCTGCTGTGCTGCGCACTGTGCTGTGTGTGCCCGCTGCTTTCGGTCTGTGCAAGGCCGCGGTCGTCACCGGTGCTCGAGGACTGGCCCGCGCCCGACTGCCCAGCAGCGTAATTCGTTCAGCCATGTATGCGTGTGTTCTCGCCGGTTCCGTTTGCCCCACCATCTCCGGCGTCATCAGGCTGCGTGCTCCATCTTCCTCTCTGATGCCCCTCCGGGGCCCACGTGACCCCTGTGGCAGTGGCTCTACAGGACAGGACAGGTGTGTGTGTGTGTGTGTGTGTGTGTGTATGTCCAACCTGTCCGAAGGCTACCTTCTTCCCAAAGCATTTGGAAGTCGGACTAGTTTCGGCTCCACAGTCCAGTGTGTCGTTACTATAATTATAGCTTTCATGGCTGAGGTTGTTGGTATGTCTGTTGGCTCTGGGTTCCCAGTATTCAGTAGCCGAGGCTGGTTGGTAAAGTAACTCCAATTTCACTTCAAGGTACCAGTGCATCTAGTGTCTGCTTCTATCAAAGCAGCGTGCTGTCTATACTGGTTACCCCAGCAAGTGTAGGGTGTGCATAGGTAACTGTCTTGGCCGTTTTATGCCGATGTACTCCGTGTGGTGTAGACCAGGTGTGCATTGGTGGTCGATTCACATGGCTTTGCCAGTTGTGTGGATTAGACAGTTATCTGGCGCAAGTCTTGATCTGTCTCATTCAGATCTTGTTCGCTATCGTTGCTTTAAGAGAAATTCTGTGGATGCACATCCAGTGCATTTGCAGATTTGCGTGCTTCTCTTGCGACGGGCGTATACATGGTACATGGTGTGCGTGTATGTGTGTGTGTGTGTGTGTGTGTGTGTGTGTGTGCGTGCGTGTGTGTGTGTGTGTGTGTGTGTGTGTGGCAAAATGATCCTCCAGGCGTATTAATTTCCATGGGACCCCCCACCTCCCCCCCACACGCGGACATCTCAGATCGAAGCAAAACATGGAACAACATAAAATTTGATGGATTTGGATTCTCTCCTGTCTCCCACTAGTGCTTGTATGGTTTCTGCACGGCCCACCACCCTTCTGCCATTGTTTTCCATGCCAGATGTCATACTATGGCACTGATTTGATATACATGTACATGTAGCTAGTGAATGACAAATGTATTACAAGTTTGTAGTGTCTGGGTCACAAGAGTGTACAATGTATGTAATAGCTTCGCTGTACAAAGTATGTTTGTAGTTATGGGTTGAATGCATGGGAAAAAGCCTGATAAACTTCCACGTCATGGTAAGCAGGCAGGGGAAGCGAGCTGCCAGTCTATTTGCTACAGAGTAGATGTGGCCTGGTCAGTGGTCACACAGTACAGCTGGGATGGTTAGACCATTGCTCTTGTCAACGCAAGGTCTCAGGTTCATGACTTGTCCAGGTGGGGTTGGGTTTTCCTGCTTTTCCGGCAGCTGGCTTTCCTGCGACTGTCGAGTGGTGTGGTTTTATGAGCTCCTTTTAAAAAGCATCATGCTGCTCACCATGGAAGTGCTATACTGCATATACAGTAAACCCTGCCAAGGCGACCACTCGGATAAGGCGACCACCTGTCCCAGAAGGCCATTGCAATCAGGACCAAGGGATGCTATTACCAGTCAAATGACCCTGGATAAGGAGACCACCTGGCAGTGGAGACCACATTTTGAATGTCCCTTGAGTGGCCGTCTTACTTAGACAGGTTTCACTGTAAATCCATTGCTTTTGGGAAATAATAATTGTGTTGTCAGGAAGCGTAATAATAATTATAATAGTGATTCTAGATGTTATTCGAAAAAATCAGATCGGATTATAATATTTGGTTGAATGTGCTCAAATTATTGTGGCTATCAGAAGATTGCGGCTTGTTCGAAACTACCTAAGGAGTAAGGTGATGATTGCCTAGCGGCATGAAACTCAGAGTTACAACCAACCTGAACGTCCTCCGCTGAGTCTGCTATGTAAGGAGTAAGGTTATGTAAAGTGCAGATCTGTTGGGAAGCTGCAACAATTGGAGGTCAGATTTGTATATCAGTGATTATGTCAAGTGTCATGTGACGTTTCCGGAAATATGCGGAACTTTGGGATAACTGTCTGGCATCATGCGGGGGGGGGGGGGGGGGGAGACAAGAATAAGATCAGAGAGACTGTACAACGGAGCACGTTTGAGTTCGTCTGGATGCTCCTGCAACGTGTAGACTTCGAAGTAGTGTGAAATGCATACTACAAGTGTGAGTGTGAACGTGATCTGTTGTGATTGCATAAGATCCAGTGATCGAGATCGCGAGAGTCGAGTTCAAAGCTGTGTTTAAAGTTCACAAGACATAATTATGCAGAATAATATCCGTGAAAGGAATTGAACTCTGCCTAATCAACCTAGTGTTCGAGCCTGCGTATGACTCACGTCCAATGCCGGCAATTATTTTGGTAAACAACACATGGCCAGAGAGAATCGAACAAAGACAAACCAGCACTTTCCAAAATCTTACTGACTTTCCGGGCCAACATGTTTCTTTTTTCGGAGTGATGTCATGGCGGACACGGCAGTTCGCGGCCTTTGCTTCTGCTGTCGGACGTGATCCAGCCGCGTTCTGGGCAACCCCGCATACGTGTAAATACCGTCGATGTCCTTTTGATTGGCAAGCGACGCTGGCTTCCCTGTCATTTCGTAATCTGGACAATCGGTCTCGCTTCCCAGTTCGCTAACGTTGTCATAAACGATGTCCATATCAAAACTTTGATCGGCCTGGGAGTCTGCAGGCATCGAAGCCTCCAGTTTGCTGGATTGTACGCGAGCGGTGGGTTTCTTTCCGCCTCCTTTCCTCAGAACTTTGCTACTCTTCGCCGGTTTGGGCGGCTTGGCCCTAGGCAGAGGGGCTGAAGCAGGTCGTAGTGGGGCAGGCGAAGGAGAGTCGGGCGAAGGCTCATCCATCTCCACCTCACTGTACGCTTGTGGGTCGTCATCAAAACTCAGTATGATGCCACTCATTCGCTCACTGCGAATCTGGCCTAGAGAACTGCTCGGCTCGTTGACGGAGAGTTTGTCCAGAGGTTCGACATAGTCATGGCGGCTCGCATTATCGCCACTCGAGTCTCCCCGGAAGCTCACATTTTCGTATGGCTGTTGCTCTTCGGTATTTGGGCCTCCGTCGCCTCTAGTCCGTGCGTCCAATGGATTCTGGTAATCGTCGAGGCTGTCTGCGGTACTCATCACATCGGAGGAACGACTGCGTTTCCTCTGTTGTCGCGGAGTGAGTGCACTATTGCTATCGTCAAAACCGCTGTCTAATGTGCTCTGGGTCTGTGTGCGCGACGCTGGCTGAAGCGTTCCCCTTCGTGACATCGTCGTAGACTCCGTGTCGGTCCGATTGCGATGTGGCGATGGTATCGGAGGCGGACTGGGACGTCTCCTGGATGATGACTGCGGGCGCACAGCGAGAGTTCTCGGCGGCAGATCGGGCCGGTCGAAACCTGCCTCGTACACTTCCTCGTCCTCCATATCCATCGCATCTCTACTGTTGTTTCCAAGGCGACTAGGAGGACGGTCCCCGTCTGGTTTCCTAGGTAAGGCTGGTCGAGGTGAGCTTGGTGAGCTGGTGAGTCCATTGTGTCCTCCTATTGACATACTGGCATTGTGCACACTGGGAGACTTGACATCAGGTATGATGTACCCATCACGATCTAATGGATTCTCACTGACTGGCGTCTTGGGTCTCTGGAGCTGATTCAGCGCTGCTACACCCTCTGGTGGCAGGCGCTGAACGAACTTCTTCAGCGAAGACATCCGCGACGACGAGCTGAGATTGTCAGAGTTTCTCGGTGGCCTATCTGGTTTAGCGTCTCTCGTCGACCTGCCTGTGCTCTTGATGGAGAGTGGCTTCATGTCGGCGGATATTGTTGAGGTTCTTTGACGCGGTGCGATGAACGATTCGTCATCGCGCTGCCTGGCGAACTTCTGACGCATGTATAGCTCAGAGGAGAGTTCGGCGATGACTCCAGGGCCCGGCTGTAGAGCGTTCTCTACTTCGTCTGGGTCTTCATCGGGCATGTGATTCTGGTATAGCTCGGCCTCGTAGTTGAAACTTGGTTGTGTTGCAGGCCGACTGCTTACGGTGAGCTGCAGTGAATTATATGAGTCCTTCGGCGGCATTGACGACGACGTGGTTGTTAGTCGTGTGGTTGCAGTTGGTGTGGGGTCGTACTGGCCCGATGATGTCATCGGCTCGGTGGCATGTGAGCCTATTGGAGCGTAGTTGCCTGATGATGTCATTGGCGCGGCGGCGGCCTGTGGGGGTATGGGGTCGTACTTGCCCGAAGACGTCAGGGGCACGGTGTGCGAGTCGTACTCCGTGACGGGCTTTGCCGGCGAGACATCGCGGAACGTCGGCTTGCGATCCATGGTGTTTGCGTGTGTGCCTGCGCCACCGTCAACACCGGTCGTGACCAGATGCGGTTTCATCTGCTGTTGGCGCCGGTCCGATATCATACTCTCCTGGTGTTTCCTCTGATTGGATCGCACTCGTCTCTTCCACCATACGTACACAACGATGAGTCCTACGCCAGCCAAGACCAGCGCACCTATAATGACTCCAGCGATCATAGCGGCATCAGGTCCTTGGTTTTGCTGCTCGTTTCCCCGGCCTGCAGGCTCGAACACCACGCCGGGCGCCATGTTCCGGAACTGAGGGGCGTTTCGGCCCCGTGCCGAGTCGGTGCGCCGTCCCGCGGGCGCCACAGCGGGCACCGCGCCGGGGCCACCGACCCGGGCACCAGCACCGACCGGCTCCAGCCTGAACGTGGTGGCGCAGGCATCGCAGGACACGCGCACTGATCGCACCATAGGCACTGGGTGCAGCACTGCCAGCAGCTTGTCGGCAAAGAACTCGTAGCTGAAGTCAAGCAGCGGCGCACGGAATCCGCCGAACATGGAGAACGAGGCCAGGCCACTGAAGTTGTGCGTGACACTATACAGCCCACTGGGATTGTTTTCGTAGCGACCCTTGTTCACTCGACCAACCTGAACAGGTTCGCTGAATGCGATCGACGCTGTCCAGGCTAGGCGGTTGTTCATTCCTGGCCGATTGGCCTCACTAACTGGCAGGATAACCGTCCAGGATTGACTATGCCACTGTCTGCGATACTGCCCGTACGGTATAGTGCCAAGGGGTCGAGATTTGCAATCGTACAAGCGACGCGGCAGAGCTACGGACGCCTGAGTGAGGCGCGTTGGCTGCGCGAACTCCCCGCAAGTGTCCGGATTCTTTCTGGCGGGCTGTGGCCGCTGTACCCCTGGTGTGGGCGGCTTGGTTGTGCGTCCCATCGATGCAGGTCCCGGTGGTGGTGCTGCGTTGATCGGGGGTGGACGTGCAGTGGGTACTACGGGTGCGCTACTCATCAGCGGTCGGCGTGAAGCTGTTACTGTTGGCGCCCTGTTGACTGGCGGTGGACGCGCCACAGTTACTGCGGGTGCCCCGTTGGCCAGGGGTGGACGTGTAACGGTTGCCACGGGAGCAGTGCTGATCAGAGGTGCACGGGAAACAGTTGGTGCGGGTGTTATCACCGTCTGACCGTGCACGGGGAAGATCATGAGCACGACGATCGCACCCAGTACCAGCATCACCGAGAATGACGGTGGTCTGACGTCATAGCGACACGCCATTATTGCCTGCAGCCTGGTCGGTACAAAGGCTTCACTTTCTCTCCGTCGTTGAGATGGATGACTATGGTATGTTGATATTCACATGGTTCTGTGTAGGCTGCAAGAACAGGGCAAGAACAAGACAAAAGAACGTGCAAGAGCACGCACAAACAATGGTAAGTTAGTTAGGTAGATCTTTTCTCACAGTCTGTAAATGCATTCGCATCCTGATTCCCCATAATTCCCTCACAGTGACTGTTATGGTTTGGTTACGCAGTTACGAGATATGCTTCACCAGTGCTGGTGCAGGACAGGGTAACCATGGTAACACAAAGACTGGAGATCTAGCAGGCAACTCCGGAGGGTAATCGGTCCATCATCCCGAATTGAGATGAGCTAACTCTCATCCCACCTTACCTCATGCAAGGCTACGGGGCGTTTCCCATAACTTCAGTATAGACATACCTAAGCTATATGTATTATGCCAGGCAATTCCCAGAGGCCACGAAGGTGTCCTAAATCGTGACAAGTTCCAAAGAACGATTCGAAGCATCAAGTACAATAATAAAGATGCGTTAGTTCTACTGAAGTACATGTCTATTAATATTTTCATTTGATTGGGTTATTCAAAGTAGCGCAGGTAGTACTGTAGTATCCCTGCCTTGCTAGTACTGAACTGTTATGTAGCTGACTACTACAATCTACATTATTCTACTGACCTCTAATCATGTCACATGTACACGTACATGCACTGCATGACTCTTGTCACTCCTTTGCTGACAAGCCTGCAAAGCTAATTATATCACTTCTCACCACTTGTGTTTCTCTTGCGCTTGCTGGATTGCATACTACATATCTTTGCTAGTTTAGATCATCGCACCTGTATGTACATGTAGAACTAACACCCACATGTTGTACTATACCTCCCTGACCCTGACTGAGGTCATGCGGACAGTCATGACCCTTTCTAGATCCGGTTTGCATCCATTTGCCAATGCCCTCCCTGGCCTCTGTTCTCCTCCAATGTTCCGTTTGCTTCTTTCATCCTTATACATTTAGATACTGTTGCTATGCCTTCCCAAGTTCTGTTTGGACTGACACAACAGACTTTTGCCCTTTTTCATGACTCATGGCTCATGCAGACTCTATGATGATCTCCTTCCTTTTCGCCCTATAAAAGCTGCCATGCTTTACTCATTTCTTCAGAGCAGAACATAACAGAACAGAACAGAGTCCCTCCTGGCAGATTGAGCCGGAGCAGTTGTATTCCTTTCCGAGTCCCTCCAGGCAGATTGAGCCGGAGCAGTTGTATACATAACTTCAGGCAGATTGAGCCGAATAACATAATATTAGTCAGTCTTCTTGTGTGTGCCTCCTGATACCACTCGGCGACCTATTACACTGGTGGCAGCGGTGCGTGAATTCGTCCCTGTACTGTTCAGTCTTGTTGTTACTGTCAATCGTTGACGTCATGGCTCAACCCGCTGCTGCTCCGGCAGCTGCTGCACCAGCCGCCGCTGCTCCTGCGCCTGCCCGCCACGTGCACAACTGGGCCACCCCTGCCAAATACGCAGGTCGGCTAGACGACAACTGGGCGGCATGGTATGCCCAGTTTGCACAGGTTGCTGCGGTGAACCAGTGGACTCCAGCCGAGCAGACGCAATTCCTGGGGTTATCCCTCACTGGGGACGCCCAACTATTCTACCTCAGTCTCCCGCAGGCGACTCGTCAAGGCGCTATCGCTGCCCTTGCTCAGGCCCTAGAAGACCGCTTTGCCCCCGCCCAGCGTGCCGAACTTCACCGGGCAGCATTCAAAGCGTTGCGACAGGAGAAGGGACAGTCGGCCAGCGCTTACTGTGAGAAGGTAAGGGCGGCTGTCGCCCAATCCTACCCCAACATGGCCGCCGCCGACAGGGATGTTCTTGCTAAGGACCAGTTCCTTGCTGGTCTCGACTCGAGGTCGATTCGCGTCCGGGTACGGGAACTGGCCCCGAATACCCTGGATGCTGCCCTCCTAGCGGCCCTTCACCAACACTCCATCCTGCAGGCTGAAGAGCAGGAAACGCCGTCTCTTCCCGTGTGCGGAGTAGCACAGGAATCGCAGCTAGAGGCAGTTACTAAAGCGCTGGAAGCCATCAGCGTTCGCCTGACCCGCCTCGAACAACATGACGTCGGCCCACCTGCACAACATCACCGCCAGCCACAACGCAACCAGCCAAGGAGGCCTGTTACCTGTTACAACTGCGGCCGCACGGGTCACTACGCCTCTGACTGCCGTCAGCCACAGCAGCCGTCGGGAAACCGCCGTCCACAGCGGTCCTGAGTCCATCTGCTGTGCGTGATGTGCTTTGGACTCACCAGCCGGTTAGTTTACCAATAGGAGCCTATTTGCTCATTTGTATTCTCGCCATAGTGGGTTTATCCCCTGTCGTTGATGCTGTCAGACGTATTGCTATGTTCGCTTTTGTTGTGTTGGCAGTCCTTGCTGTTGCTTACCTACTCACCTTGACACCATCGTTTGATGTTCTGAAGTCCCACATTGCTACATTCTTTCACCGCTCCTCCGTACACCGTCCATTCACAGTACCTGTTACTATTCAATCCATGCAGTTCAACGCTTTGCTTGACACCGGCTCGGCAGTGACATTAGTTAGCAACAAAGTTTGGTCAAGCTTGCCTGTGCGTACACCGCTAGTCAAACAGTCACTACCGGATTTGGCTACAGTTGATGGGTCATCTATTCCCTTGCATGGATCTGCATGTTTATCTTTTTCCATTGATGGCCGGCAAGTGTCTCACAATGTTCTGGTTGGTGATGTTCAGCCTGATGTTTTGTTGGGAGTTGATTTCTTCAGAGCCCATGGCTGCGTTCTCAACCCTGCGGACAATTCTCTCAAGTTCCCTACCAACTCTCCGTCTCATGCTGATGCCTGCATTGATGATACCAGTAGTGCTCGCCACCAAGTTTGTCATGTCCAATTGACAACGCCTGTCGCAATACCGCCGTTCAGCCAAGTACTCCTGCCTGGCAAGCTCCAATTCTCTCCAGCTCCGGGTGACTATCTCCTAGAAGCATCTGGTAAGCTGCCCGAGCGTTATGACCTCCTCTGTCAAGATGCTGCCATTCACGTGCATGCGGATAATGATGCCCCTTCTGCTACTGTTGGATATCCAGTTTTCAATTTCTCCGACCAGCCGATCACACTACCACAGGGTGTGCGGATTGGCTCCATCATGCCATGCGTTCCTGTCGACGATGATGCTACCCCTGAGACGTGTGCTGCCACTGCCCTTGCAGACGATGGCTCTCCAGCACCACCGCAGTTCGATCTCAATCACCTGGACGGTGCCGATCACCGTTCCGTTCAAGATCTGCTGAGTGAGTATGCTGATTGTGTTTCAACAGGCCCGTTTGACACTGGCCACACGGATGTCTTCACGCACACCATCAACACTGCTGGTGCACCTCCTGTCCGCTTAGCACCACGACGTCTACCAATCCACCAACAACAGGAGGTCCGTGAGCACATTGATAATCTGCGTGACCATGACATTATCCGTCCGTCTAACAGTCCCTGGTCTGCACCTATTGTCGTTGTCAGGAAGCCTGACAACTCCATTCGACTTTGTGTGGACTACCGTCAGCTTAACAACATCACGGTGAAAGCAAGTTCCGGAAGTCAGACCTAGTTCTTCTCCACTCCCCCGTCGTCCCCACACATTCTTCACCGAAGTTTCACAAATTCTGGACTGGTCCGTACATCATTACAAGTGTGATTGATGATGTCACAGTCCGCATTCGGAAACAGGATACCTCCTCTAGCTCTCGCACTGCCATTGTGGTTCACATCAACCGACTGAAACCGTACGTCCAGCTACCATCACCGCCTCTACCTCCTGTTTCCTATGATGCTGATATACATGTACACATTGATCCTCCAGTTATCCCTCCACCAGCTGCTCATCCTGCTATTGCTCAACCTCAAGCCCATCCGTACAACCTGCGAAATCGCCTGCAGATTCGCCCGCCCAACAGATACTAAGTGTCATGTACATCACGAGGGCGTGATTATCTATAGGTAGGGAGGGTGTAGTATCCCTGCCTTGCTAGTACTGAACTGTTATGTAGCTGACTACTACAATCTACATTATTCTACTGACCTCTAATCATGTCACATGTACACGTACATGCACTGCATGACTCTTGTCACTCCTTTGCTGACAAGCCTGCAAAGCTAATTATATCACTTCTCACCACTTGTGTTTCTCTTGCGCTTGCTGGATTGCATACTACATATCTTTGCTAGTTTAGATCATCGCACCTGTATGTACATGTAGAACTAACACCCACATGTTGTACTATACCTCCCTGACCCTGACTGAGGTCATGCGGACAGTCATGACCCTTTCTAGATCCGGTTTGCATCCATTTGCCAATGCCCTCCCTGGCCTCTGTTCTCCTCCAATGTTCCGTTTGCTTCTTTCATCCTTATACATTTAGATACTGTTGCTATGCCTTCCCAAGTTCTGTTTGGACTGACACAACAGACTTTTGCCCTTTTTCATGACTCATGGCTCATGCAGACTCTATGATGATCTCCTTCCTTTTCGCCCTATAAAAGCTGCCATGCTTTACTCATTTCTTCAGAGCAGAACATAACAGAACAGAACAGAGTCCCTCCTGGCAGATTGAGCCGGAGCAGTTGTATTCCTTTCCGAGTCCCTCCAGGCAGATTGAGCCGGAGCAGTTGTATACATAACTTCAGGCAGATTGAGCCGAATAACATAATATTAGTCAGTCTTCTTGTGTGTGCCTCCTGATACCACTCGGCGACCTATTACAGTACTTCCAAGTTTGTTCATCATTTGACCAGAAAAGACCGTCTCCCAGTCTACTGCTAGCAAACCAACATAATAATTATGTTATTAATTTTGTAGCCGGCTAGTCAGGCGTCTACAATTTGATGAGTGTTTCAGACACGAAGCTGCCAGTAACGGCAAGGAAGGACCAGGTTGCACCGTTGATTTTTGTGAATTGTAGGTATAGAGCTGGATGGCTATACCCTGGCCATTTCCAGACCAAACGACGGACATACCATGTGTAACGTAGATTCTACGATGTACATTTACATCTACATCTAACGTTGTGTCTAAACACACACAAACAGAATCTGATAACCACCCCCACCCCAGGCTTGTAGAGGACAGGTACAAACACACGAGCAGCTGTTGACCACACACCACAGCGTGACGGTATTCCTTCCGTCTGGGATCAGCGGAGAAACAGTTAAGTTAACACAAGCACAAAAGAGGCCAATACGTCGTGAGGGAATTTTTAGGAACACTCTGAGTATACGACAATATCTTCAAAATAATGAAGAGTACACATGCATCGGCGAACGAATTTCATTTCATCATCATCCCGGAAAATGCCCATCAGGGACTCTTCATAGTATTACCTAAATTCTGTTTTGTCAGGGTCAGTAACAAATATGTAACAAATATGGTTTTCAGCGATACTGACGGCGCATTCTTGATACAAAAGGGGATTGGGGAATACTAGCTACTGAAAGATCATGGATGCTATCAAGTTGTATGCCTGTTATGTATTAATCGATCACTCTCTGTGACTGTGTCTGAGTCTGTGTGCGTCTCTTTCTCTTTATCTCTCTTTCTCTCACGCACATAGACTCTCTCTCTCTCTCTCTCTCTCTCTCTCTCTCCCTCCCTCCCTCCCTCCCTCCCTCCCTCCCTCCCTCCCTCCCTCCCTCCCTCCCTCCCTCCCTCCCTCCCTCCCTCCCTCCCCTCCCTCCCTCCCTCCCTCCCTCCCTCCCTCCCTCCCTCCCTCCCTCCCTCCCTCCCTCCCTCCCTCCCTCCCTCCCTCCCTCCCTCCCTCCTCTCTCTCTCTCTCTCTCTCTCTCTCTCTCTCTCTCTCTCTCTCTCTCTCTCTCTCTCTCTCTCTCTCTCTCTCTCTCTCTCTCTCTCTCTCTCTCTCTCTCTCTCTCTCTCTCTCTCTCTCTCTCTCTCTCTCTCTCTCTCTCTCTCTCTCTCTCTCTCTCTCTCTCTCTCTCTCTCTCTCTCTCTCTCTCTCTCTCTCTCTCTCTCTCTCTCTCTCTCTCTCTCTCTCTCTCTCTCTCTCTCTCTCTCTCTCTCTCTCTCTCTCTCTCTCTCTCTCTCTCTCTCTCTCTCTCTCTCTCTCTCTCTCTCTCTCTCTCTCTCTCTCTCTCTCTCTCTCTCTCTCTCTCTCTCTCTCTCTCTCTCTCTCTCTCTCTCTCTCTCTCTCTCTCTCTCTCTCTCTCTCTCCCTCTCTCTCCCTGCCTCCCTCCCTCTGTCTGTCTGTCTGTCTGTCTGTCTGTCTGTCTGTCTGGCTGTCTGGCTGTCTGTCTCAGCCTCATTCTCTCTCTGTCTGACTCTCTCTCACTCTCCGTCTGTCTGTCTGTCTGTCTGTCTGTCTCTCTGTCTCTCCTCTCCTCGGATTACTGTCATCGATCATGGTGTTGAGTTTGAGTGTCACAAGTAGTCAATTACCCCGGATACAGTAACAAGTTACGTATTGACAACACTACAGCCAGGAATTGGAGTACAGTTCAGCACGCAAACATCATTTTCTCTCCAGCACTGTATCCTGGGCCACGACATGGAGATCACTGGAAGACTGAAGCTGTAACCGCGCTTTGTATGCTGCACCATAAGCTGGGTTTATCAGAATTTTCTTTTCCGTTCCTCTAATCAAAGTGATCGATCGTGTGCACTACATATCAGGAAGGACGGAGGGGATAATCATTTCAAAATCTGAGGTATTGACCAATCACGCATCATGTACGTGCGCGAGGCGTAAGTGCAAGTGCTGATTTTACCCATCTTCACTCCTACTTCAGGTGCAAATGACCTGGACTGGGGACTGGAGTTGATGTTAGAAGGTCGATAAGTGTAGTGCCTCTGCAGCCCATTGTTACCATCCTATACAGTTGAACATCGATTATCCGCACATCGACTATCCGACCATTCGATTATCCGTAACAGTTTTGTTGGGCGCACGTGCCGTAGAGTACGCACTGTGCATGTAGTGAGCCATTCAAAAAATACGAAAATTTTGAAAAGTAAAAAGGTCGTGCGGCTAGTAATAACCACTGAAAGTGTGTGAGTGACAGTTTTTTCTTATCAGGAACAATTGCCTTATCTGAACACCGCCTGACAGTTGTCTGCCCAGAGGTGGTCGGATAATCGATGTTCAACTGTAAATGCATATTTCAAGGGCCCACATATTTGCCTAGTACCGTAGTATTTTTGCTGAAATTTAAACAATTACATATCGATCAAAACCGCACGTATCGGATATGTGACCCCAAGCGACGGCAAAACCTGAGCACTTGTCGTATCCATAGGGGCTACCCTGTACGGGACGGGGCAATTGATGCGCCGTGCACTCTGACCAATATGGACACAGGGATCCTCGGGGCTACCACACTCATTGCTATGCTTATTGGCCGCGAGATTACAGTGCAATAGCTTCGCCGTGTCCTCGACGTGCACCTCATGATCATTAAATGCGTTTTCCAGGGGTCATGTCGGGAGACGACGGAAGAACACCATTAATGCTCTGCGTGCCGGGAAAGGGAAAAGGACATATCGAGGTCGGGCTGGATTGCAGAGGGGGCAACTACTTCGCTAACACAGTGCTGAGCACGCATTAGTTGGGTAACGTCTTTGAGACTTCAGGCAGTGCTTCCATCCTTCCACATCCAGCGGCTGTCTACTGCCACAAGCTGGTGCAGGGGCTGGCAGCTCCATGTGCTGGGCAAAAACGTTGCTGCGTCGACCGGCGCAATCGGCGGTTGAAACCGGGCTGCCCGATCGGCTGGTCAACACCCGTTGCTCAGCTGGGCTCCCTTAACGCCCCATAGAAACGCCAGCATTGTGTGACAGTCAGTCAGTGATCGCTGGATAGCACTGGTTGTATCATACTAACTATCATGTTGCCAGTAATAGTTAGCGTGAAGCAGCTGCAAAGAGCTAAGCAGAGCTGCTGGCAGTGTTTCCTGGCGATGGCCAGTCTGTTTCGTGCATCATTACTCGATCGCTATGTGCCCAGTGGGCCTCGTGTGGTGAGTTGGGATTGCCACAGAGCACGACTATACAGCGAGCAGGCACATTTCAACGTCGTCACATGCTCAACAACCGTAGCGAAACATAACTTCATTGTACCACAGCGTACGTACATACATGTGCATGTACATGGTCAGATGGATAGTACCAGCATGGGTTGTCCTAGCACCCCCCCCCCCCCCACCTCCTCACACACACACACACACACACACGTACATATACGTACATACACATACATGTAGAAGAGAAAGAATGCAGAACACGAAACCGTCATACGCGTCGTATCGCCGATTACGATGCAGATGCAGGCCGAGTCGTTTGCCCTTAGACGGCTAGTGAGGCGAGAACAGTGCCCTTAACTTGCACTTTCAGTCCCGCCGCAAAAAATATTATCGAAATTCTCCGTTCCCACATCAAACTGGCCCACAGCTAAAAAGAAATCCATAATGCCTTTGAAGCCAGTTTCTTACTCGGCACGATCGATCACCTCAGATGCAATTCACATGCCATAGTAGTTTGAACAAGTTTACATGACTGTTCATAACACCATGGTTCAAACGTACAATCGTACATGACACGAAGAGCTAAACTATGCATGTACAGTATTACACACAATAGGAGTTGGTGAGGTTGTCAGGCCCGAGTTTACGGGAAACCTTTCCCTTCGCTGCCCTGGAACCCTTACAGCCAATGCCGTAACGTCTTCGCTATCGTAGAGAGAAAGGCATGGTTGGACAAAGGTTGCCGAGAATCAGTACCCTCAAACCTAAGTGAACAGCGATGTGAACGCCTGCTAGTATTGGCTAGTATTGGCTAGTATTGGCCTCCAACCCACAACCATAACTTGTTTTCATAGCCGTTGTTGACACACAGCAGCACCGTGACACTCTCTCACACCACCGAGTAGACTAATAGCGAGAAGGGAACATCATCAGCCTCACGGAATAGCCCTAGACAGGTTTCGTGGAGGCACAAACTGTGTTCCAGATGCCCTGCGCAAACTTTTACACCATGCGCAAGCCTACTGCTACTGTTGGCGAAGTGCCAGATTCTTCCCTTGGAAAGTCAAACAAAGACATTGATAGAAGATTGATCCCTAGTCGACCTATCACACGTTTCTGCCATGGATTGTAGGACCATTCGTGATTGTGTGTCCATTGCAAAGGGGCTTAGGGGATATAGCAGCAATAAAGGAAGATTCCTTGCACATACCGTTGTCTAATGCCCTTCAATTGACAGACCTCCACTACCGAACTTTCCCAGGATCACCAACGAAGTACATTCAAACCGTGGGACACACAGCTGTGAGTGGTGGGTATCTCTTTTTCGTCCAAAAAACCTTCTTTATGCAATGAAATCCTTCGAAAAACGAGCCCACTCCTTCACCGCCATTGACGCTGGGTTCGGGAGCAAATGTATTTGCCTAACCGCCGATGAGTCTGAGCGGACAGGCTAACAGTTTCAACCGTGTAAATATCATCGATGAGCTACGCTTGACAATGATGGAGGTCATAGGTACTAAGCCTCGCCAAGCTGAGGCAAGCCCGTCCATGAATGCTTGAACATGTTGTTGAGTTATGGCAATGATCATGCTGTGAAGTATAGCAATGCATAGACTATCTTACACTCACCTTGTTCGCGCTGATACTTCCACGGAAATCATTCAGTCTGAAGGGTGCACAAACACCAGGGCTGCTTCGGGACAAGGACCACTCGCTTCTTCCACAGAAGAAGGCGGCTCGCAGTAACGCTTCCCAAATCCCAGCCTGGATCGTTGTCTACTCGCAACACGACAGGTGTTAGCTCACTCACATCAGCGCCTATCGCAAGCTTAGGTCGGGCTACGAAGGTCGTCTTCTCTCCCTCAATTGGCCTTTGCCCCACAACGCTATCGACGCGAAAGTCTTGCCTCCACCAAAGCTCGCACTGACTTGTGTTAGTAGCGAGTCACACGTTTACAGGGTCAATAGCGATGGAATTCCTTTCCAGCAGCTCCTCATAGATAACAGGTTATCCTTGAAGAGTGGATTTTGCTTTGATCCCGTTCAGTGGTGGTATGTGCAAAGCTGAGCAAACGCGTACAGTAACCTGTGCGCAAGCCAATGCCTGTGAACCGAGTCGAACCCTCCCAGGGTTGCTTGATTAGCACGTCATAGCTGGTTAGTATGCCCATGAACTGCTACAGATCTTCTGTCACTACCAGTATGGCATTGCCACAGCCAGTGTAACGACAGATACGGGGCTGGCTAGATATTGGGCCCTCCGCCACCTCCACCTGTGTCATCGCTGCGCACCCTGTCCTGTACATTGTGTTGTGGTGTATGGTGGCGAGGGCTGTCATCCCCGCATCCCAGCAATATGCAATGGCAGCATGCATGTATGGCCTGACGATCTGCGTGCTGTAGAGTGCGTCCGTCCTCTGTGGTGAACTGCGGCACTTGCACTTTCACTACATGTACTGCTATCCTACTGACCCGAGGCTACAGATTCAGCACACACACACACACATCACAGCTACAGCGCTGGCAACTGAAATCCGACCCCCTGGGCGGTGGGTTCACATTCTTTGCGATGTGAGCGCACCGCTCAGGGGGTCGGATTTCGGTTGCCAGCACTCTAGACTCTAGTCTAGTACGCCGGTCAGGTGGGTAAGTGACTGTGAAACGAAACACGCAATCGACCAGGTTTAACCTCGACCAAGGTTCGAACTTTACTTTGCCCTGGATTATGTTGACGTGTACTGTAAATCCTGGTATTGGTAAGCATTGGTTGGTTGAAAACACAACATTGTCCGCCGCCTTGTTGTAAACATGCACTCAGTATGCTGTCAACCAAAAAACTGTGAAGCGTGCACCGGATACAGTATGTGGTTCTAGGACACTGCAGAACATGACAGTTCTCCGCACGACAAGTCGCAGACGACTGTGCGGAGCGGGAAAATGGCAATGCGACCATGGGCCGATGACTGGCAACTATAATAACTATTCAGTATTCTACTAATACATGTATGTGCATGTGCAAAGTCATGTACAATGCATGTGCCAAGTGGACTGACGACTGGCTGCGGATCATTGCAAACTATTTTGAAGCAGTAGCGAATCCTCCATGTACAATTCACAGCGGCGCGTGCATACAGTTTGCAGCGGATATCGAAAGCCTTACTTGGACTTTAAAGTCGCCTGGGGCAGATAGAAACAGTGCTTACAGCGGGATATGAACTGGGAAGTGAACAAAATAATCGACAATCCCATCAGAGAGCATTGTCCCATGCTCATCCATCTTCATTTGATTTTGCCTGTATTTCACCTGGTGATAAGGCATGAAAGTATACTTGTGAAAACGTTCAAAATATTCAAGAGTCTGAAGTGAGCCCTACGTCTAAGTATATGTATTTGAAGTTATAATTGACTTGAAGTTGAACTTGCTGCTGCTAATAAGACCTACATGTAAGTAGGTACATGTACATGTATATACAATATGCTGTCTTGTTTTTTGCGTGTTTTTTCTTTTTTTCTTTCTTTCTAGAACTTCGAGTTGAAGTTTTTGGAACACTTGGGAAAAACATATTCATTGTGTTTATTTTGCACATGTATAATGGAGAGCATTGTGGGCTTGGATGTCTTTACTTGTACAGTAAAATCTGGTTTATTTTAGAAAATAATGCTCTAGCATTCGTACTCATTCGTACTGGCTTCGCAACGCAATGTTCGCAGCATCTTGACTTGGTACACAATGCATTGCGCTTGGTTTGGTTTCTACCATTACCTCTTTGATTAATTATTGCTATAGTAGACGCTCTGCAGAGCCTGGGAGCCATTGCCCATGACAGACCAGCATGGCGAGATCTATGCATGAGGGTCTGTGCATTGTGATATTCCGACAGATCCTGAAACAGTCAAACTCAGGAAATAGCACTATCATTATCACTCAGGCTGCAATATTCATATTATGGACATATTCATAAATGACATATCTTCAATACCCATGAGCTACATTGTATATAATATAATAATATGATATAAGTATCATAATTATTATTATCATCGTTCTAGCTCATTTTTTCCCCTGTCATAGTCCTGTTTATCATGTTCAGCATAAGCGAAGTTGTGGATCATGCTTGCATGGTTGACTCCAACGCGTACATGCAAGTAATAATAATAATAATAGTAAAACTCTCCTATTCCGGATGCCACTAACCTGGGACCGTCCATTTGATTTACCGCACACCTTTCTGCCCCCTCTAGGGTCACAAAATTAATATTCCTAGCTTCGAGGAGTTCTCGAACCCAACCAGTAACTAGGGACCGGTGGATTCTGCTCGAAAAGGTGGCAGATTCTGCTCGAAAAGCAGTGAAATTGGCAGAAACATACAAACCTTATGGCGGGCAATTCCTCAAATTCTGCTCCATTTCTTTATCCACATACCAAACATGCATGAAACTTACCAGAAAAAGTACCGAATTCTGCCAATTTTTCTGCCGGCAGAATCCGCCGGACCCTACCGGTGACACCTTTACTGTACAATGTTTTAGTGCATGGAGTATACCATAGTGGTGGCCTGCGGAAGCGAAGGCTATACATGTAGCTAGTTGTGTGTTTCTGAACATTCAAGTGATGCTAACGCGGATCCCGCGAATATTATTATTAGTATACCAAAACCTTGTAGCATAATGACGTCATGTACATGTACATGACGTCATTTGATTACTATTATGCTACAAACTACCGAGTAGAGTATGATTATGAATCTATGATACCACAACAGTACATGTGCATCTGCGTGTGCGTGCAGGCGTGCACATGTGTAGACTCAATGTACAAGTACATGAATTGCCATGCTGTTGCTACGATACATCACTCATCAGTCTCCTGTTCACGTGTCTCACGTGCCTGCTCCTGTTGGCATGATGAAGAGAGAAGAGAGAAGAGAGAAGTTAGTCGTATTGGTGACGTGATATTGATCTGAGTTGTTGTTTTCCGGTGCAGATCTGATCCGACGACCTACATGACTGTATTAAAGGCTAGAACGATGCTAGCACGATCAATTCCAGACTTTGAAGTGATTGAAAATTTAATGCAATTAAGTACGTACCTCTACCGGTACATGCATTTGCATGTCAAGCCCATCGTACTATCTCTGTACACTGATGAGGCCAAACACTCAACATCACTATGTTTAATTCACTTATTATGAGGCACCATACTATCGTTTGAAGCACCTACATGTAAGTCAATCTGGAGCAAATCACGCGATTGGCTTATGGAGCGTGTGAGGGTCACGTGGTCAGAAACAGCACAGAAATCCTACAGTAGAAGGGGCACATGGGAACGAGGGAAGTTCCCCACGAAGTGCATCACTTACTTCACTCATCGTGCTGGTGAAATTGCTAGTCGTTGAGGGCGGTAATGGAACAGCCGGATCACGATCTCGATGAACCCAGCGATCAACAATGTCGGACTTCCAAACAGCCAAAGCTGTTTGGAGAAAAGAGACTGCAGTTAGCATCCGGTGTTAACAGTGTCAGGTTTTGTTGGACGAAACGGCTTGGAGCTCTTCAAGATTACGGTATGGTGTGACATTTTATGAATCAATGTCTATAACGTGTTGAAGTCGAGAGGTATGAAGAGAGGAAAGAACATAAGTACTCTCCTAACACCTGTGGGCTTTCTTTGTTCAGAATCGCTCACGTCATCTGCCGAGAGACTGCTGTATGTCCTGTTAAAAGTGTTAGTTCCTACGACCAAAGCTGCCCACTGTCGCAGACAAATACTACTCTGACTTGCTGCTACTGCACTGTCAGGTATGTACCTAAGCGATCCGCATCTCGTCTTTGTACAATGACAATGTTAGGACTAATGATGACTGTTGCTTGCACAGTGAAGAGAGGATCTCTCAATTAGCAGGGAAATTTCCCCTCTGTCAAGGCAGTGTGTTGCTCAATACACGCCGACAGGTCTATGAAGTCCACAGGTGATGCACGGTTTCTTGTGGTGTCCTTGGGATCTGTCCAGTCACTCTTTGGTTTGGGATTATGCAACCACCTGAGACAGCTGTTCAATAACGTAAAACTTCCCAGCAGTGGCCATTGCATCTTGAACCCGTTTCGGACGGGCAGGAGGTCAGATCACAGAATCGTACGGGGATGGATGATGGCGATGGTGCCATAACCACAAGGAGGGCATTCTGGAAGGTGGCTTCTTCTTGTGACTATAACAAGGACCACCAAGAGAGGTGTAGCGGCCTTTAACAGGTGCAGCATGTTGCACTGTCCACGGGTGCGGTCGACGCACTGGTTTGCTAGTTGTTGCAGTTAACGTTGCCAGTTGTTCTAGTGGACAACGAGTGGACAACGAGCGGGCAACGCGGAACTTGTTGTTGACAACTGATTTTGTCATCATCGATCGGGGAGGAATGTACATGACATTGCAATGTATTTTCGGTAGAATGCAGGCGACATTAGTAAACCTGTACACACCCAGGTTAGATGCAATCATAGTGCAAAGGGTCTTGCTGCGATTACACAACCATACCTGATGGACCAGATCCTTGATCCTGTTCTTGGGAGTAGTACTAGCCGTTAATTTGCAACCTAGTGTGGTAGTGAACACGTTTCTTACAGGAATGCTGTGTGACCCCGCCAACTATTATGGGATTTGGTCGTTCATGAATACAGCTACAAACAGATGAAAGTGACTCAGTTACACTTGCTTCCTGTGCTGTCTTTCATTCGTGCTTCTGTCCTGAACTTCTGACAAAGTCAAAGGGTTGTATTGTTGATGTACGACTCAAACAGGGATTTTGTTCTCCTCCATTGGTCACAAACATGTACATACCCAGTGCTGTAGACGACTAGATGTTTCGGCCATCTACGCCTCATCAGTACAGCTAGGAGCTATACGTAAGACGAACTACCGCCCATGGTGCAAAGTTGGCACTACACACAGCTAGCGCGTCGGTCTATCGCCAAAGTGATCAAACTATGAAAAGGAACAAGCCATGCATACCACATATAGCCGCAATATTCCCATCTCTCTCTCTCATTCTTTCTCTCCCTCTCTCTTTCTCTCTCTCTGTCTCTCTGTCTCTCTCTTTCTCTCTCTC